CTGGGGCACTTGTCCTCACTGAAGTGGCTTCAGAACAGAGATTGCAGTGGCCCAAATACCTCTTGCAAATGGGGTGAAAGGCCCAAGTGGCAGAACCACCAGGAGGCCAGCTTGCTCTCCTGACTGCTGGCTTCCTTCTGAACTGACCTCCTAGCACCCCCTCAGCCTCTGGTTGTGGGAGCCTGTTTCACCTTCCTGTCCCACTCAGATGGGGACAGCAGGAGGGGCATGGCAGAGCTGGACAGGTGGGTGCATTTTACTCTGCTCACCTTTGCAGACCCGAGTTGAACTGTGCCTTAATGTTTGTATGGGTGAACCTCACTGCTTTTCTATTCTCTGGGCACAGGGATAACCAGGAGAATGCCCAGTCAGGCAGGACAGAGTGACAGGTAGGAGTCAGGGGCTGAGGCTGGGAACAGTCAGGACTGGACTGGCACTGGTTACAGCTGGAATGCACTTGCTGAGCTGAGAAGGGCAGGAGGCCAAGAAAAGCCCTTGATCAGGTCAGCCAGCCCTTGGCTCCCACAAAAAGCTTGGAAGCAGGTTAAAAGCCTGTAGCTGGGTTGGCATGTGCTCAGACACATGGGCAACAGCTTCCAGGAACAGAGGCCTCGGGCAAAATACCCGGGTGGCTGGCCAAAGGCTGTTCTGATGGGAAAGGGGGTGGAGAGAGTTGTGTTTCAGCTCCTGACTGTGCCTTACAACTTCCCCACAGTGCTACGAGACATCAGTGAGCGAGGCAGGGACCTCGAGCAGATCTTATCTCAATACATCACCTTTGTCAAACCTGCCTTCGAGGAGTTCTGTTTGCCGGTAAGTAAGGGGAGTGACACCCACAGAAATCTGCCAAAATGTCTCATACTCTGCCCAGCTCCTCAGGCAGGAGCATTTCGTGCCCAGAGCTCAGATCAGCCTGCTGTGACTTGCTCCCTCCCTCTAGGCTCTGGCCAAAATGGGGTTTTCCATGCTGGCCAGGGCAGGGCGAGATGGGGACTGTTTATACAGCCACTGCCTTCCTGGTGAGATCACCATCCCCTACAGGAAGGTGACATGGCAAGAGAAACCCCTCCCTGTGCATGGCCTGGCAAACCACTGGGCAGCTCAGGAGGTGTCAGCCTGGGAGGGAAGATTCTTGGCTACATTTTGCTGGGGAAGGGGAGATCACTGCCCCCAAACAGTGTCTGCTGTGGCTGCCTCCTGTTCTGGGCTGGCCTGCCTGCCCTTTTCACCCTGCAGTGCTGCTGGCTTCTTGCTGGGAGAGTAGAGAAGCTTCATCCTTCGCTCTGTGCAGTGGGATGTGGCCTTTTAGGTCGCATTTCCTGCCAAGGTGTAGAGCAGAGAGACTTTGCTCTGGGCCAGGGTTGTAAAGTCTGTCTAGAGTAAGGAAGCTCCTTTTGGAGCTGCTAACAGAGGCAAGGCTCCTTAGCAGACAGGGACTGTGCATGTGGGAGACCACTGCAGTCCTGCAGAACTCATAGGGGAAATAGCACATTTGCAGTACTAGTCGTTAAACACTTCTGGCTTTCATGGAGAGGAGCCTGTGCCTTAGTTTTCAAGGCTTTTCAAACAGATGTGGTAGTTATATGAGGATTTTTTTCATATTCTGGAGGAACTGAACCAGTAGAATCCTGCAACCTGGGAACTGCTGATCAGCACCACAGGCAGCAATTAAACCTGTGCCTCCAGCCTCAGGAGCATCTCTGTGCCTGTGTCTTCCTGGCCAGCTCTGCCCTTTCCAATAAGAGGGCCTGATTCTTTCTGTGCTACAAGATCTTTTCCTGGCTTCTGTGCAGCTCCCTTTTCTCAGTATCACTCTGTTGTGGTTCTGGGGACCGACTGCAGTGTAATTCCAGAAAGGCTTTTCCTGAGAGGCAGGTCCCACTTGCAAGGCTCTCCTTGCAAGTCCCCAGCGAGGTAAATCCACAGCTTTTCAAAGCAGCAGATGCTGCATCAGTGTCTTCTGATGAAGAGACTGTAGGAGGATGAAGTGTGAAACAAGAAGGACAGAAAACTGCTTTGTCCCTACCCACCAACCTTGCAGTGGTCTGCTCCCACTTCAACCTGGTGCTTAGCTGCAGAGCAATTCCATGTGGAGCAGGCTCAGCACCCACTGCTGCAGTTCTTTGACTCCTAAACTAGCTCTGGGCCAAGTGGTCCAGCACTGAAATGGTCCATCATGTCCTGGTGATTTTTCATATGTCTGGAAGCACCTGGAGGTGTCAGATGACACCCATCACCTATTTGGCTTGTTAACTGATGGTGGAGCTTGGCTGTCAGCTCTAAAACTGACACAAATGGAGGAGGAAACTGAGACAGGCACCTGCAGGTGAAACTAGGTCAGGACTGGTGTCCTGAATCACACTCCTTTGCAAGTAATGCTGGTAGGAAATCCTCCCCCCATCCCAAGCAGATTGTGTGACTGTGCCCAGGCATGTGAACTCTTGCTCTTGTAGCAAGTCTGGATGGATTCAGGGGGAAGGTTGTTCCTGAAAGCAGCAGTTGCTGGAGTCTTGTGATTATGAGGCTTCTTAATTTCAGGTTTTGTTAGGGTGCCTGTTACTGGCATGTGTATGAGCTCATGATACTGAAGTCAGGGCACAAAGTATGGCCCTCAAAATACAGAGCAGAACACAAATAAGAGCATCCAAAAGGTATAATCAGCAGTGACATACATCTCCATGGGTTTGGGTTTGGCAAGGGGAGGGCAAGGACCTGCCCCAGGAAGCAGAGACAATGCCCCAGCCTGGTGTCTCATCACTCTCCCAGTAACGCAGTGCTCTCTCTCCTCCCAGACCAAGAAGTATGCTGATGTGATCATTCCCAGAGGAGCAGATAATGAAGGTAAGTGGACCCAGACCCTGCTGTTACACTCTGGCAGCTGGCTTTGGGCTGTTGGTGTTGCAGCCAAGTTAGGTAGGAGGTAGCAGGACCTGCCATGGAGGTGACTCAGGCCACTGCCACCTGAGGGAGTGCTGTTACCACAGGCATGCTGAGATGAGCCTCTTCCCCTTGCTCCTGCTGGAGCATTAGTGACTGGGAGTTTGTGTTTCTCTGTTCAAGCCTGAGAGCAAATCTATGTGCGGTGCCTCCAGGCAAACTCCTGGTTCATCCCACACAAAGGGAATGTGCTTCTCTAGGGCCAGACATGCAAGTAGGACAGCCAGGTCTCCACCTGGCTGGAATCAGCCTGACCATCCTGGCTGGAGTGCTAGGCTCAGCTGGGACAGAGGGATGAAGTCCCAGCGTGGGGCACCATAGGATAGGAGGGGATTAGGAGCAGGGAAGACAGCAGAGGCATCAGCTTTACCTTGGCTCTGGTTTATTTGCAGTGATCCTAATGCAGTCTCTCCCCCTTTTGCTCACAGTGGCCATAAACCTGATAGTGCAGCACATCCAGGACATTCTTAACGGAGGACTCAGCAAACGCCAGAGCAACGGCTACCTGAATGGCTACACTCCCCCGCGCCAGCGGCAGCCCTCAGAGTCCAGCAGTCGGCCTCACTGACCCCGGGCGGCGCGCGAGGCTGGGGGCCAGGGGCTGGGCCCTGCCACTGCCCCTCTGTACATACTGTCCACTCATTCCCCCCTTATCTATTTAAGAAACCAGATGGAGACGAATGCCTTTAATTTTGTATGTTCAAAATGCCGAATGAGAAGCAGCCAGTTGCTCGGGAGCCCGGACCGCCCACAGCTCCTGGCCTTGCTCAATAACTCCTCCAGCACGGAACCGGCTATAAATCTCTATAAATATAGAATTGCTCTATTTTTGTGTAAATGCAGAATAACGTAAAATTACTTGCCATAAGGTATTTGCCAGGCTCGGTGTTGCTGGGAGGGGCTGGGAGGAGGGTCCTGGGAGATGGTGGTGTCAGGGTCTTCACCTCAGAGGTGGTAAGGAAGGAAGAGCATGCGGCAACTGTTTTAATATCACAGTGGGCTCCATCCTGGGGAAGGGCCTGGGCTGGGGTGGAGGTGGCAGCTTGAGTTGTGGCATGAGTGTTACAACTGGGTTGGGTTTGCCTCCTCCTGCCATTGCTGTTCAGGTCAGAGCAGCCTTGTTTTGGCATTGGACAATGCCAGTGGGAGTGGGAGAGAGTGGAATGCCTCCCCTGACTGTCTCTGCACCTCCAAGTCTCAGTGCCTCAAGAGCATCCCTTTCTGTGTCTGACACCCCTTCTCACCACAGGTGTGGGGCTGCTGTCACATCTTCCAGCAAGGACAGGGTTCCCCTCAGCAGCTGTGGCTGCCATCTGTGAACACATGGGTCTCCTGTGCCAGCTGGAGGTGTCTGTGCAAGGGATGGTGATGCTGATGGGTGCACTAGGCGTCCTACACTTGGGAAGATTTTCCAGTAGGTGATGCTGGGTATGTGGTCATATAAACATGGGATCTTCAGCAGTCTCACTGCCTGGGTTCTGTGGGAATGGCACATGGATACCTTCAGCCCCTCTGGAGCTTGCTGGCCATGTCTGGTGGCACTGCTAGCTGAGCCCTGGGTTCAACCCTGAGCCTGGAGGTTGGCTTGCACATCAGGGGTGTGTCTGTCATTCCACACTTGGAATAGTTTTGCTCTTGTATGGGGGATTTGGGGTATGTGAGGTATGGCTGAGGGAGAACCAGCCCCTGCTAGAAGAAAGGGCCAATAGATGATTGAAGGCAGCTGCTGAGCAGCCTATCTGAGGGGGTCAGCAGTGGTCCCTGGGCTGCCTAGCATCCCCCTGTGGGAAATCCACAGGTCCCAGCTGGGTAGCATGAAACCAGGTGCCCAGGATTCTCTGCTCTCATTTGTCAGGATACGCATGATTTTCAGTCTTTCAGGAGTGTTGGTTTTGCTCTGCGTGGTTGAAAGATTAAGACCTTAGACCATGCTCCATCGCTCTCTAGCCCGATGTGAGCTGAGACAAGCTTTGGTTTTTAACAGAACAAGAAGGGATACACCTCCCCCTAGTGACTGCTGCTGGGGCAAACTCCTTCCCTCTTGATCTGTGATGGGGGCACATGGCAGCCCTTTGTCCCCTTCCCTTCTGCCAACACTCCCTGAGACATGTCAGCTTTGTTGTGATCAAGGCTGGCACTGGCTAATTCTACGTATGGCTGTAGGTAAGATGGACCGAAGCCCTGCAGAACTGGTGAGGTTACTCAGGGCTTAAACAGCTAAGTCAGCTCTCGATAAAAAATACTGGCCTCCTCTCCCTGGCGAATAAAGACAGAATAAATGGATGCCAGTGTTCATTGTCTCCTGTTTGGTGCTGCATGTTGCTGACTGCAGTCCCAGTATGGAAGCAGACTTGGCCAACATGGTCTTAGTTCGGCAAGTCAAAGCCAGACCTGGAGCAAAGCTGCTGACACAGATTGCTGCTTTGGTGAAGAAGGAGGCAGCCTGTGGCACTGTCTCGCCACTCTCACAGTAAAAAAACTTCTTCCTAATATCTAGTCTAAATTTCCTCTCTTTCAATATAAATGTTACTCCTTTACTGCCATTCCTAACAAAGAGCTCCTGTCCAGGTTCCCTGTAACCCCTTCAGATATTGAAAAGTT